CTCTCTCTCTCTCTCTCTCTCTCTCTTCGCATATAATTATTACATTGAGTTTATAATTCATGCTTACTGTTTAGATTTAACTAAACTACAGTATAAGTACTATTGCAGACAAAACTTGGGAAACAAATAAAAAACAATTTTCGGGGCAACTATTCTGTAGACATGTATACAAATATATGTTACATAAGTGTTAGTAATGTTGAAATGGAAATCATTTGTGTTTAGAGTTTCGTTAAACTCTTGTGAGATTTGATTGAAACGAGAAATGAGGAAGATCCCGAAGTGCGCCCGATGTCGGAATCACGGCCAAGACGTGCCTTTCAAAGGTATGTCGTGTTGAATACCATATGATATATGCTTTGATTGTCTCATGAATTGAATGATTGTGTGAATGAAAGGCCACAAAAGGAAGTGTAGGTATAAGCACTGCACGTGTGATAAATGCATACTAATTGTCGAGAGACAGAAGATTTTGGCCGCGCAGAATGCACTCAAAAGACAACAACAACAGGAAGACGAGACTCACAATGAGTTAGAAGAGCTTCCCGAAGGAGGGGGCCCAGCAGGAGGTCTAGGAGGAGGCACAGGAGAAGGGCCGTCAAACTCCTCGACCGACTCGAACCAAACCAATGCACAACCAAAGAGTGCCAAAAGTAGAGACAAAGCCATAGACGTCGACTCCGACTTTGAAGATGACGATGACATGGATTCCAACTCCTTCTCGAACCCCAATTCCGACTCTTCCGACAGCACCGGTATGTCTACTATTTGTTGGCACTCATACTGGAATCAAAACATGAATTTAATGATTGAATATATTGTACAATATATGCAAATATTTGTCAGATTCTGGTTCAGAATCTGATGGAAGTCTGACCCAAAAAAAAGTGGGGAAACTGAAGAAGCTTTTGGAGAAAAGGGGTTTAGTTCCCAATGACTGCGTCTATTACTTATTGTCTACCATTTTGTACGACAATAACAAGAATGTTAAGAAATCTGCCCAAAAGATTTTCAAATGTAAGTCCTTTTGCTTTTCATTGTCGAGTTAACCACAAATATATGTTAATTCTTGAGTTGCAATTTTATAAGTTATTTATAGCATAAGGTGTTCACAATTTAGTAATCAATAGACGACACAGTTTTCAAGTGATTTCCATAACTGAGACTTCGAAACCTTATTTTCTATAAACTCATTGATTGCCACTAAATCACTAAATTATATTATATTCTTAACAATCATTTTATCACAATTTATTCGCCATATAAAGCCATATCAGACTTGAGTCGAGAAGTCATGGAATCATACAATGGTTCCAAACATAAGAGCCATAAATCCAAGAATAAGAAAAAAGGAGACAACCATTCACATCATTCAAACCATTCAAATCAGACAGCGCCGCACACCTCATCTACTATCCCCATGCCATCGGTGGTGGTGCCGGTCTCACACGCCCACAAACTAAGGATCACTTCTCCATTGAAAAAAAATGCCCGAAAGAGCACTAATAACCCGTAAATGAATTGCAATGATTTGAATACTATTTTAAGAATTCTATGAGTATATAATGACTACTGATTCAAGTTATCCATTTAAAAGTTATCCATATATTGCAATATAAAATACCATACCAGTGACCATTGCTTTTTTGCTTATACTGTATATTTGCCATAATATGGTAGACACTACCGTATATTATACTGTATTCTATTCATACATTACAGTAATGTCCGGTCTATATAATTCAATTTAAACTTTTACTATTTTAATACAATTTTACCATTTAATCG